AAAACAGGTGAGGAAGTGGATAATTTTGAATCAGATTTTAACTGCAAATATAGGCAAAAATAAGAAAAGGAATAACAAGGTCTAAAAGTAAATCCCAAAGGTCTTATCAATGTAAATCCAGTTTGTTTTTATTACAGAATACATTTTTAAATAAAAAGTGATTTAAAGATCTGCCCAAATGAAAAATAAAGCTTAAGGAAGGAAAAGTCCCCAAAGAAATTCCTTTCAATTTTGTTTTTACTTTTAAATGATTAATTATCTTTTTTAAAAGCAAGGTCTTTGACTTTTTGTTATTTTTAATTTTGATAAAATACATATAATATTTACAATCCCAATGATATTTAAGTATACAGTTCAGGAGTATTTAATACATTCACATTGCTGTTCAACCAATCCCCAACAGTCTTCATCTTGCAAAATCGAAACTCTGTACCAATTAGACAACACTATGTTCTCCCCTCGCCCCCTCCCCGGCAGCAACCATTCCTCTTCTTGTCTTTATGAATTTAAAGACTCCAGATACCTCTTATAAGCTGAGTCATATAATATTTTGTCTTTTATTTTTTCTGTTACTGGCTTATTTCACTTCACGTCATGTCCTCACGGTTCACCCGTGTTGCAGCATGTGTCCAAACTTCTTTCCTTTTTAAGGCTGAATACTATTCCATTGCATGCATATATTCCGCATCTTATTTACCCACCTATCTGTGAATGGGTACATGGGTTGCATCCAACCTCTCTGACTTACATTTTAAACAATTTAACTAAGTAGGCACTGGTGCTGGAGTGAGAACACCTGGCTCCAAATCCCTCACCATCTAATCTCCATGTTAGCATAGAAAATACAAACGTTAAAATGAAAGAAGGTGGTAAAGGAAAGATACCATGAAGCACTCAGCAAATTAAAATCCTGATGTCAGTAGGTTCTGATGAGGGTTTTTGATACCAGAAATTCATCCAAACATTTGTTGGGGAATATGAGTAAGAACAAACATATGCTAAACACTAAAAATGCAGAGCCCTGCCTCCTGTGAGGACCATGATGGCCACGGGACAGACACCTAAGTGGTAAGCAGCTGTAAACAGTGGGAAAAAGAAGGTGATAGACAGGCACAGTGGCCCAACCACTCCCTCTCCAGAGCTGAGTCCTACAGAAGGAAGGGAGTCAGATGGGCACAGAGGAAGAAGGCTCTGCAGATAGGAGACGGCAGAACCAGGCAGGGATTGTGAGAGGCTGAAGCACAGGCTTGGAAGAGAGAAACTAACTCAAAGAAAAGGGAATCTCAATAAGCAGAGCCCAAAAGAGAATAGAAAAGACAGAAAAACAAGGTCTAATTAAGTGTCAATCAATAGAAAGAAATGAAAACGCACTAGAAGGCATGCATCACTGGATACCCATTCTGGTGCCAATGTGAATCTCCTGGCCCTTGCTTGCCTGGAGAAGCTTCGTCTGCTGAAAACAAATTGTGGCTCAGGAGTATAAATTAAAATTGTAGCAGCAAAAACTGACACTCATTAAAAGCTTACTGACTTTGTGTCACACTTCATTCCATTAGATGGAAATATTTTAAAAGTTGAAAAGATATCCAAAAATTCATAAAATACAAACTTCTCTGCTTAATTCTCTGGTTTTTCAAATATGAGCAATGTTCCAAGTTACTATATTATATTTTATACTAGTATTTACTTATAATACCTACTTCATTCCCAATAAAGACTGAATTAGCTACCATTTTATGTTACCTGGTAATCACATTTCATGGGTTCCCAGAACTGCAAAAGACCTACAACATTATTTGTCTACACAAAGAGAGTTTCTATTCCCCAGACACTCCCCAAGGAACTAACTGACCACCAAAATGAGAACAGAAAGGCCTGTGCTCTGCTCAGAGAGGAGTCCAAGAGACCCTGGTACAAACAGTAGCGATAATGCAATGACATGCGCCAGTGCAGAAGCACAGGCAAGGGGCTAGGGAGCCAGAGGAGCTACCCTCAAGACAAGGACATCCCTTTGTTCACTTTTCCATTCACTCACTCATCCTCCCACTCCCTTCTTCTAGGGCCTCATAGGAGCTTTCCGTGAGTGCTGGTGATGCCTGTACAGGAATGCTCACTGTAGGAATTGCTGCTGAAGGGTAAGACGTTCCTCGGGTGGGTGGCAAGGTCAAAAGTATTGCAGGCAGAGGGGTGCCTGGCTGGCTCAGTCCATTGAGTGTCCAACTCCTGGGTTCAGCTCAGGTCATGATCTCGCAGTTCATGGGTTCAAGCCCTACATCGGGCTCCTCGCTGAGAGTGCAGAGCCTGCTTGGGATTCTCTCTCTCTCTCCCTCTCTCTGTCCCTCCTCCACTTGGTCTGTCTCTCTCTAAATAAATAAATTTTTTTTTTAAAAAAGTATTGCAGGTATAAAGAAGAGTATGAAGACCAACACAGCTTCCAGCGCTCACAGTGAGTGGGGGAAGGTCAGGCAGGTGAGGAGCAGAAGGTGGAGATGGTAAGCGTGTGACCAGGAGCACTTGGAGACAGCAGCACACCTTTCCCTTGTCAGGAAAAGAGGAATTAGCATGTGTGGCAATGTGGACACACTTCTGGGTAGGGAGAGACAGGAAACAGCAACAGGGCACAGAGTAGGGTGAAAACATGGTGGGCAACAACCGACTGAGAAGGGATGGTGGGGCAACAGGCTCTGTGAAGGATATGGTTACGACACCAGGACATCCTTACTGCAAACTTTTTATGGCCTAATGCTGTTAAATATCTGAATCAAACAGTCCACTGTCCCTGCTTGGACTCCATGGTCACCAGGCATTGGTGTAGCATGTCTGCAGACCGGAGGGAGAACACAACCCAATCACTCTTTTCCCAAATTACATGTTTGTTTCTTGCAAGTCTGGGGAAGGTCTACTGCTAAAGGACATTCAAGTCTCTGAGTCTATAAAGGCCTCATTCTGTAAGGAGCAATTCCTGAAGTCTGGTTTTCAGCCTCAGCTCCTGGACGTCAACATCTCTGAGCAGAGATCCACAGCACTGTGACCACCACCAAAACCCAGCTCGGGCTACAGCCTGCCCTCTGGTCACCCAAGCATTCTTCCTGTCTTGCTGCTCTCATAGCTTCATACTAGAGCACAAACATCCTATAATTTCACATTTGCCCAAGCAGACCTTAATCAGCTTTTCACTGCTTCTCTATTTTGTAAAGTTTACTTTGGCTCTTTCCTACTACTATCTCAACATTTTAATAATTAGGGTCTACGTGGTGTTCTACTGACACTGTTCTCTTCTAACATCATCCAAGTCATCCTCAAAAACATTAAACATCATGGGGCGCCTGGATGGCTCAGTCAAGTTAAGTGTCGACTCCTGATTTCTGCTCAAGTCATGATCTCACAGTTTGTGAGATCGAGCCCTGTGTCAGGCTCTGGGCTGAGTGTGGGACTTGCTTGAAATCCTCTCTCTCCCTCTCTCTTTGCCCCTCCCCCACTTGTGCACACACACTCACACGCACTCTCACTCTCTCTCTCCCTCAAAATACATAAGTAAACTTTTTAAAAAAAACATTAAACATCAAAAGACCAAATATAAGAATAATTTCATATATCCCTCATTGGCCCTGAATCACTTAGGCCTCTTAGCCACTTTGATCACTTTGATTTGAATCAAAGAATCAATATTCTTTGATTATTTGTGTATTATTAACTTCTGGCCAAGCTTGTTTTTATTTTTCTATTATTAGTAACTCAGATACAATCCCTTTTACAATCCACATATTCCATTGTTTTAGTGCAAAGCAGTTCATTAATGTAAAATCAAATCAAATGCTTGGACTTCCATTCTTTCATTTCAATCAGTGTTACAAATTCTGAACAAAACCTCCACAGAAATTTGTTAAATCAACAGGAAAGGTGAGTGGAACTTCTTGAACATCTGTATATGCTAAGCACAACTTACTATTTTTACTTTTATGGCTATTGAGCCATTTCTTTTTTTTTTTTTTTTTTTTTTTTTTTTTTTAATTTTTTTTTTTATTTTTGGGAAAGAGAGAGACAGAGGATGAACGGGGGAGGGGCAGAGAGAGAGGGAGACACAGAATCAGAAACAGGCTCCAGGCTCCGAGCCATCAGCCCAGAGCCTGACACGGGGCTCGAACTCACGGACCGCGAGATCGTGACCTGGCTGAAGCCGGACGCTTAACCGACTGTGCCACCCAGGCGCCCCTATTGAGCCATTTCTAAAGAATACTACAAATGGTTTGTATACACTTCAGATTTCAGACTGTTGCATTTCAACATTAATGATGTCCTTAAGGTTCTTGCTTTTTTTAAAGTTTAGTGTTGACAAATGTAATAAAATATCTTATCGCAGAGATACTCAAAATCACTGGTTGTAAGAGCAGAACTTAAACAACATTCCCAACCTTGACATTTGTCCCCAGACCAAAACCAACGATACAATCCATTAGGGTACTAGTCTCCAAACTTCCCCAAACACCCCGGAGGTGTTCTAAGTTAGAGAACAAGATCATTCTTCAATTTCCTAAACCATTTTGTCTAAATAAATATTCTGCAGCATGGTCAAAATTACAGTGCCAATTTGATTACAGGCTAAATATTTGAGAAAGCTTAATACTCTATCACAACTCCCAAAAGGAGAACAAATGTTCCCATTCAAGTGAATATTTTTTAAGAAGAATTATGTAGTTCTTCTAAGTACATTATTGGCTTAAGTCATTTGCCACTGTGAGAAGAGATAAATTCTAAGGAAGTTGGTAACATTAAATGTAGATTACAGGCTTTACAAAGTGAACAAAAAGATTCAAGGCAGCCAAATAACTGAATTACTTTGAAAAAGTATTCATATCTTAAAATAATAATTTGTTGTTAATCAAACTATTGACAGTAAAATGAAATTTAACACATTTCAAACACCACCAGAATACTGAATACAACTCAGACCATACCAAAGTTCATTTGTTAAGTAATTTATGACAAAGAGACTCACTTACCTGTAAGTATAAGAAAAGAAGGTTAGGATGAAACTACATCATTCCTCCTCTGCGTAAAAATACCTTGGCTTCTCTTCTTGAAATGGAAAGGAATCTAAAACATAAAAAAATAAAATCAGATAAAATAAAAATAAGAAGTAGTAGCCCTTGTGATTTTCCATGTCTCAGCTGTAGGCGATATTACAAAATGGTAGAAATTTAAATTATTTAGGATGTAAAATACAATTCATTCCAGTATGGCCCCAAAATGCAGGATGGTATTTTCCCCTCCCTATTTTAATGGGTAAAATACAAAATATTTGTTCACACACGCGCGCGCGCGCACACACACACACACACACACACACACACACACACGGTTTAAATAAGGCGAAAGCTCCGTAGAAGCGTGTGTGAAAGCACAGTAGAGTCACACCGACTTGAGAAGGAACCTTTCCCCAAAACGCAAATCTCGCCAGAAAGAAACGTGCCCGCTGCCCACGCGCTGCTTCTGAACTCGCTCAGCCTGGATGCTCTGCGCGCACTGAAATCACTCAGGCTTCCAGGTTGGGGTCAGGAGTGAAAGTGCTGCCCCCCTCTGCAAGCACCGCGTGCAGCGCCACCACTATTTTTTTTTTTTTAATGGTTCCACGAAATGCAACATTATAAAAGAGCAAATCCACCTGGAAGTTTTGCCCGAGGGGCTGAGAGGGTGGCCGCCGGGAAAGCCCGATCTCCAGGGCACGCGTCCCCGGCCCGGCCCCTCGCGGCCCGCGCGCGGCCCCGCGGAATCCCGGCCGCAGCCGCCTGCGCCGCGCCCCGCCCTCGCTCTCACCCTCACCGCGGTCCTGGCCGAGTGCTGAGCGGTGGGGTATGGCGGCCGCCCCACGCCACCCCTGCCTTTAAGGAGTTCCACTGGAGGCCACACGTGCGTCAACGAAGATAAAAGCGGAGGGAAAAAAGGTACAACCAAATCACTCTGGAAGCAAAGGCAGGGAAAATATTCTGGAAAGGGCCTACGCCCTCCTGTTAAAGAAGTGGTAACAATGTTATCCTCAATTAATTAACGCAGAGTCATCTTTCCCAAGAGTTTTCATAATTATGTCTCATCTGTCTTTCTAATTCAAGTAACAGCAAAAAGTGAAAAACACTATTGTTCCCGTTTCACATACAGAAATCAAAAAGGTCCAGAGTGGCTATACACGGTCAGAGAAAAGACTAAGAAGCTCCTAGAGCCTGCCACCACTTGTCCTTTCTCTGTGGGGACAGCCTCCTGGTGGCTAAGGTGGATCTGTCACATTTTTGTTTCTTCCCTCACCTAAGTTTGAAGGTTTTCTCTGAGGCATTGCCAGTAACGGTAAGGATGTGAGGTACGTCAATCACTGTACAAGTCAGGAGGCCATCTGTGTTTGCACCCTCTTTACAGTTTACCTTGGGTTTAGGGTTCAAGTTCGCTGGGCCAGCCTGGGGCGGTCCTCTCACGGCCCAGCGCTGTGCCCTCCACCGCGACTTGGGCTGCAGCTCTGCCTCTTTTGGCTTTGTTCTCACAACCGGCACTTCCGTCCCTGCCTGGCTAATTAATCTATGTCCAAATGGAATTGCTGTTGGCAGAAAGGCAGCAATGCCAAAGTGGAATAATCACTTGGACCTGAATCTGAGTTGTTTTCCATCCTTGACAACAAATAATGTTATTCCAGAGCCTGCGGGCCAAGAGTTGAAATGAGTTTATAATTTGGCTTCCAATCTCACATTCTCATTCTCACCCACTTAAATTTTCTTTTCTGTCTTTTAGCATGCAGGGGGCAGCTTTGGAGGCTAAATCACTGACATGGTCTTTATTGATATCCTTAATGAATATTCTCTGCCATCTAAATTAAAAGGGGAAAAATCCACATCGTCCAAAACCATTCTTGTTTTAATAATGAAACTAAATAGACTGTGCTGCCTCCATACGATCATTAATAATCTAATTTGTACTTCTCTCTCCAGCAACCTGAAGAGAAACGTTCACAGGTTTTTCATCCACACACAGTAGTCCACATTCATCCAGTTTCTAAGTGCCCAGCCCTAGCAATGCCAAACTGCAGGGTAAGAGCCACAGGATGGCCCAGTGCCCTGCTCTTTTCCTAGTGAAAGAACTCATTAAAACTCCAATCCTTGGCTCTAGGAAGTACGCTGTCTCTTTAGCAGTTCCAAAAATCATGTTCCCCAAGAAAGCAATCATCTCAAGCTAGTGATGGAAAAGGAAAGAGACAGGAAGGCAGAACCACTGACAGGACTCCCTTAGAGATCCGGGTGGAAGGGGAATTAGCATCATGGAAAATTACTGAAGGTAAATGGAAGGTATGTTAGGGAGAAGTGGGTGTGTTCAACTGGACACACCCTCTATTAGAAGAAAGGCAGGGGACATGGACTATACACTTACAATGTGCCATGCACTGTTCATTACATAGGAACTCATTCAATCCCCACAACAATGCTATGGATATGTGTGTTGATAGTCCCATTTTACAAATGGGGAAAAGGAGGCTCAAAGGTGTTAAGAAACCTCCCTACTAGTACATGCTAAAGCCAGGATTTTTCTGACTTTAAAGCCAAAGCTCTAAAGAGAAAAAGGAAAGCAAGCCTTTACTTTTTCTATTGTGCAACACTGTCTTACCTGCAAATACTAGTCTTCATGTGTGGTTTTCTAAGAGAGTACAGGGCTTATAGGGGCTCATACTGAATTAAAGTGGTGGCCTGAAGATATGCCAAAGGTTGCCACTGAGGCCTTGAGAACATAGCCCCCTGCTGATCCCCTGAATCTCTCATCCTTTACAAGAAATCACAATGGCAAAAACACACTCTTGGATAAGTCTTCCTGAATATCAAAGAAACATACAATAAGAATGCGCTCAAAATAAAAGCTAAATCCAGGAAAGCAACTGTAGGTATATAAAGTGCCTTGCTTTGTTCAATTCAGAAAATAGTTCTCAACAACACCCCTCAGTCTAAACATTTGTATCCAGGTCTGAGGTCCCCTCTCCTGTCACCTGATGCCTACTGTGATTTTGACAGTTTGGCCTAAAGAATAAGGATTATGGAGACACTTATGTGGCTTTGCAAGTTTTAGTTATGGTAAAAAGGCACGAGAAAGCAGATGTGCATGAGAGTGGCTGGGAGAACATCCATGGAAAAATCACATACTTGGATTTAGAAGTTCCCGGCAGTATTCTAAAGGTTAGGAAGTCTGCCCCATCTGACCCCCACAGTAATGAGTTTGACATACATTAATTTACAGTACTCCATATATAAGTCAGCTTTCAACCATATTAAAAGAAGACTAACCAAAATCAACTATTGAAAACAGAAATAAAAAATGTTGAAAATGAGTTACACTGAGATCAATCATATTTTAACAATCTAGCAACCCATTCTATTCAATGTACAATCCTAAGTGAAAGTTCCCAGCATTTTAGTTCCTAAAGAGCTTCAAAACCACAATTGATCCAATGGTGCAATAATATCCATCCATGTGCCTTCAGCTCCAAGGCTTCCTCACTTTCATAAATGTCAATCTTTAAATCTTCAGTCCATCTACACCACATATATATCAGACACATTGATTCCTGAAATGTGAGAAATAAGAAAGGAAGACTGGGGCACCTGGGTGGCTCAGTTGGTTAAGCAATAAACATTAAAAAGAATTTTTAAAAAAAAAGGAAGCAAGGAAGACTAACAAGCCCTTTCATCATCAATGTGCCTAAAACACCAAAAGAAAAGCATCGAGACAGACAGAGACTAGATATGTGTCTGCCAACTCAAGCTACCTGTGAGATTTTTCTTTGTGCATATGTGGATAATAATATACAGTAAAAGTTTGGATTGCGAGTAACTTGTTCTGTGAGTATTGTGCAACATGAGCAAACATTTCTAATAAATTTTAACTTGATAAACAGCAGATGTCTCGCAATACGAGTAGTACATGATGCCAACCTCACGTGATCACAACTAAGCCAATGGTTCTTGAAATTCGCTTTGATATATAAGTGCTTTGGATTACAAGCATGTTTCCAGAATGAATTATGCTCACACACCAAGGTTTTACTGTATATGTTTTTAAATCTTGGTAGTAATGTCTTTTATTTGTGTATATCAGTGGAGTCTTCTATGGTACTGGAAGACAGAGAAGGGACAGTGTCAGGAACTGTGTGGACAACTTCTAAAATTATCTTTCTCAAGAATATGTTTCAGAAAAGAAAGTGCCCTTGGATACTGCACATCACAAATCACATGTAACTATATTCTTGACCACATTCCTTCCACATTAAATAATTATACTGAAAATAGTATATTGTAGAGCACAACTGACTTTAAAAGTCATGAGTTTCCCAAAAAGTGTTGCTTTTCTATTATCCTGTGAAATGAAAAACAGTATCACTATGTCCTGATCTAGTATGTAAAGAAGCAGACTGAATGAGAAGATATCCCTTTATCTCTTTCTTATTCCTAATCCTTCCAGTGAAGTGGGTCACTCTTATTTTCTTCATTTTAATTTTTCATTCTGATAAATGGGGACAATCTCAGATACTATTAGCAGAACTATCAAGACTATGAACAAAATTATATTGCTAAATTATTTGAAGTCTCTTTTAAAATGTATAGGTCTACTAACACCTTAAAGGGTATCAAATAATATTTTCCTCATAAAGACTTACCAACTGCCTCCCAAGCTAGGCAGTGGGGTCCCTCTGGGGTCCCTGCTTGAGCCACCCCAACATTATCAACATGTGAACCGCTAACATGTTCAAGAATGAAATGATTCACACGCTAAACAGAGATCCAGGGGCGCCTGGGTGGCTCAGTCAGTTAAGCATCCGATTCTTGGTTTCAGCTCGGGTCATGATCTCACGGTTTATGAGTTCAAGCCCTGCATTGGGCCCTGTGCTGACAGTGCCTACTTGGGATTCTTTCTCTCCCTCTCTCTCTGCCCCTCCCCTGATTGCTCACTCTCTCTCTCTCTCTCTCTCTCTCTCTCTCTCTCTCTCTCTCTCTCAAAATAAATAAACTTTTTAAAAAAGATTTAAAAAAATAAACAGATCTAAATAATCTACTCTTAGAGCAGAATGAAAGACA